TACCTGGACTGAGGGCCCACTCCCCAGAGCGGCGGCCTCGGGAGGCGGGCTGCATCCTCCTCACGTGCTTAGATGGAGGAAGTGAGGCTCCCAGGGGTTAGGGGGCCTCTGGGGCCGGCCCACAGCTGGGCCGGTGCAGGCTGAGAGCCAGATTGAGGGCATCTGATTCCCAGTCCCGTCTCTTTCCCACTGAGCCACTCCGCCTCGCTTTTAATTTAATTAGGAGAACATTTAATCCCCCCGTGCATTTCAGAGACGGGTTTGAGCTGGCCAGGGCTGGGAGGCTCTGACGGGGCCTGTGACTCATGCAGCTTTGCACAGCACTCCCGGGCCGGCTCCCACGGGGCTTCCTTGGCACCTCACGCAGACAGAGGTGGTCTGGAGCTTCCAGAGAAGACAGGACACCGGTCTGGAAAGACAAACTGGTCTCATCTGTTCCTGGCAAGCCCCCTCCTTCATCCCCCTGGACACTAGCCTCGGAGCGGCCTCCTCATCCTTTCCCACCAATGTTTGCAGGGCAAGAAACAAAGCAAGGAGCATGGCAGCTCGAAGAGGTGTGGCGCCTGGCGCCTCTGGGTCCGTGGGAGCAAGCCACAGCTGCCCCAGGCCTCCGAGATGTCCTGGGCCGTACTGGTCCCTACCAAAGAGCTAGCCCTCCGGTCCATGTTACTGAGTGTGGGGCTGAGCCTTGTGACATTTGCCCCCATTACCAGAAGGCACGAGGCTGGCCCTGGCCTCGCTGACAAACGCAGAATTCAAGAGACATTAGCAGTGATGTGGACGAAAGCCAGGCTGCAGCGGCCTTTCTGGAAAAGACACACTTGAGCATTTTGGCATGAGACTCCACAGGGTCCAGGAGAAAGTTGGAGACATGGAAATTCTAATTAACGCACATGGGGCTGGTTTTGCTCAAGGATCTACGGGCTATCCTGTCATGGGAGGCCAGCAAGCACATAGTTGCCAGGGAGGTGTTCGTGGTCACCTGGTGGGCCCCATAGTGCCCCAGCCCTGCCTTCCCTCTGCCTCCCTTCCTGGGGAGGCCTGTGGTCCTCCCCATGCCCATCTGTACGCGGGGTGGCACACTATGCTCTCCCCTGAGGAGCAGGACGGGGTGGCTGGTAAGCAGGAGCCTCGCCCAGCCAGGATGCCATAACAGAAGACCTGGAGAGGACCAGGCGTCAACTCTTCCAGAGGAGCCTGAGGCTTCAGTGTCTGCAGCAGGCCTGGCCTCTTGCACCAGGTGCCTAGGGTATGGGACAGATGTGGACTCCTGGCCAGTCTGGCTGCCTTGCAGCTGGGCAGGGAGTGGGGGGCTTCACAGAAGTGGCTGCCGTCTCCTGAGGCTGCTGGGACAAGGATACCCAGGCCCAGTCAGAGCCACAGATGCTCATGCTGAGGCCATTCTGACCTAGCTGCACTCTGCCCTGCACACCAACACCCCTGCCGAAGCATTCACCGCCCTCACCATCTTGTTCCCTCAGGTGAGGCTGGCCTGGCCCTGGTGGGGCAGGAGCTGCAGTCCTGGGGCTCATGTGGCCTGGGGCTTCGGGAGTGCCAGGGAGAGAGCACCTCAGAGGAGCCACACGTACCCTGCTCCCTAGGACCCGAGGGTTGGGCAGGGAGTTAGACACCCTAGAAGGGTCCCAGGGCCCGATCTGAGGGCTCAGGGAGCTGGTACGGAGGCCCTGACAGCCAGAGCACGTGGCCTGGGCCTCCCCGAGCTGAGGATGACACAACCAGCCTCTGATGGCAGAAGATGAGTGACAAGGCCTTCTCAGATGGGGATGCCATGTGTGAGGTGTAGGCATGCACACAGCGGTGGCCCTTCCTTCCCACAGTCCCTCCAGGGGCTCCCCCGGTCCCCCTGTTACCCTGGATGCCCCTCTACCTCTACCTCTACCTTACCTCTACCTCACATTTGCCCCTTGGAAGCCCTGTGGCAAGGCTTTGAGTGGGGGACGCAGGTGCAGAAGCTCGAGGCAGACTTCTGCCTGAAAGGTGTGTCGGGCCGTGGCCCAGCTCCCCAGAGCTGTGTGGGGGCCCCAGGGCTGCACGGGGATGGGGGTGGGGCTTGCTTACAGCGCCAGGACCACGCCGCCTCCCCAGCCCGCTGTGTCCCAGCGACTCCCTAGTTTGCGCCGAGCCTGCTCACCGGCCCCCGGACCCCCACCCCTTGCCCCACCAATGGCCAGCAGGCCCCGGAAAGAGGAGCTTCGCCCAGCCCCAGGGACCTTCCCGTAATCAAGGCTGCAGTGACCTCACCTCCCTGGGGCCCAGCGGGTGGGGAGAGCTTGAGATGGAAACAAAATGTGTCTTTATTTATGCTTTTAATTTGAATTCTGGAACTGACCCAACGTGGTAATACACTTAACCTCAGTAAAATGCTGAAGAAAAATGAATCTGTTTTTCAGTAACTGCTTCCCACCCACTCTGCCCCCTGTGAGACCCCCGTGTGCACCCCTGCCCTAGCACACACACCGGGGCGTGGGCGTCTGCTCCCCGTGCTGGGTCCGCAGGGCCGGGCAGTTGATAGTAGTGTCCCTGAGCCGCCGGAGCCAAATTTATTTAGGGGCACCGATCACCAGGAGGGCCGGCTGACGGTGGAGGCACACAGCCCCAGCACCGGTACACAGGGCGGGCACTGTGCCCACTGGAGCCTCCTCTTCTAACAGTCAGGGTAGGTTGGGGCCTCTGCCCAGCTTATAGCCCCAGCAGTGCCGAGGTCCTGGGCCCTGAAACCTCTCAGTGAGCCTCTACCCTACTCTCCCCACTGGGGCTCCCTGAGGCATGGTACCTTGTACTGAGGACAAGTTGGTGCAGGTCCCCTGCCAGCTCAGCCTTGACTATGCCCTGACTGGACCACGATGCCATGAGGTGGCCCCTTTGCTGCCCCTCTGGCTCCTTGCTCCCAGCCCCACCATGACCCAAGTACGACACTTGGACCCCTTCCCCCTTCCCAGGGGCTTCACATCCAGCTACTGCTTCCGGATGGCTCTGTTGGGAGAAGCCCTCGAAGTTCTAGCCTGGGGACCTGGCTGGCTGACGACGGTGGTACAGGCCCCGATGGCACTGGGCCTGACGGCAGACACCTCCCCACAGCCAACCTGCGCCTCTGGGGGTGCCAGCCTGGAAAGATCCACAGCCGGCATTTAGGACGCTGATGCCCCCGGATCCCACAAGCCTAGGGCCACAGCCCTGGAGGAGACACGGCTTAGCATCCGGATGATCCAGTCTTGCTGGTGTGGGTGGCCTCGTGGGCTCTCGGAGCAGGTGGGCAGCCTGTGGCCCCAGGACACTTGGTGAGTGCTCATTCCAGGGCCGCCGATGGCCCTCACCTCCAAAGGGGTGACCATTGGGGCCTCGACTACAGAGCCACCTGGGACCCGAGTCTTTCATCACCCTTACCCTGGGCTCCTCTGTGAGGGTCTTGCAGGGCCAGGGAGCTGGAGAGACCTCAGCACCCAGCTGGGTGGATGGTGGTAGCGGCCCTGTCCTTCCAGGGTGGGACTTCCTGCGTGTGTGTTCAAGGGGCTGGGCCACAGCCAAGAGGATACAGGAGAACGGGCTCTGGCAGGACAGTGACCCTGGGGACCCGAAGGGGTGGCAGGTACAGGGAGGTCCAGGAGGAGTCCGCCTGCCCCTGGGCCATGGCTCCCAGTGGGCTCGGGCTGTCCTCACTCTGAGCGGGCACTGCACCTGTGCCACCCACAGCGCCAGCCGCAGAACTGCACTCTGTGGTCTCTGTTGCGCCCTGGACTCTGTAAAGGCCTCCGCCACAGAGGTCCCCCCCACTCTGCCTGGGGCGCCGGCCTGCCCCGCACAGCCCGCCTGCCTTCCCTGTGCGTGCCTCGGCTCCTGCCACGCATCCAGCAAGCCTGTCGCATCCCCTCCAGGACGGGTGGGAGCCCAGCAGCCCACCCCAGGGCCTTGTCCATGAGGACAAGGTGCTCCCACCAAGCCTCCAACTACGGGGTGCTGCCCAGCGCCCCCGGAGCCTGGGAGCCTGGAAAGATGGCCCACGAGTCCTGCCTTGTCACAGCCCCATGCTGAGCCAGTCCCATCTTTCTCTCATTCTGGCTACGCGACCCTGCCCGTCCCGCATGAGCAGCCCCCACCGGGTCCCAACGTCCCCAGTCACCCGCAAGGCAAAGGCCACCGGCCCAGGGCACAGGGTGACAAAGGCACACACGGCCCACGAGGACTCCGAGACCCCCAGAGAATGAAAACACCCTTCAGAGACGGGTCCGTGGAGAGGGGAGCGCGTCAGCGAGGGACTCCGGGTGGGGCTGAGAGGAGCGCCTGTCTGATCGCAGGGGAAGCCCCGTGGGGCGGTGGCCGGAACGGGCCCGAGTGCCCCACTGACCCCAGCACTCGGTCACACTGGGTGCCCCTGCTGGGAGCACTGAGTCATAGCTCGCAAGGGAGTCACACCACGGCGGGGCCCTGGGGATTGGCCTGGCGGTGCTGCGATGGCGGGGGAGGCCGGGCGCGCGTCCCAGGCCAGCTGTGCCTCGGGGGAAGGCCAACTGGAAGGCGTGGAGAATCAGCCATTTCCTCCACCTGAAGGAGCCCCTGAGGACAGCAGCGGCAACTGGCAGCCGGCGCTCGGCATCTGCCCCGTGGCTTTGGCCGGGGTTCTACGGGGAAACGCTCGAAAACAAAGTCGTCTCTTTTTTGGGGGGCGGGGGGGCGAGGAGAGAGAAAGACAATCTTCTCAGACGCTCAAGGCACACAAACAAGTGGAAAATGATCAGTTTGGTTTTCCATAAGTCAAAACAAGAGGATCATGTTCCCAGACTTGGCGGGCGATGCCTGGGCGCTCCTCCCCGCTCGGTGCCCAGGCACTGGGTCCGGCCCCTGGCAGCAGGCCGCCCCAGGTTGCCGAGGGCAGGCGGCAAGTGGCGGGCTCGGGGTGAGGAGGCCCAGGGCTGGGCCCCGAGGTGGCCCCCGCGCGCCCCACACCCCTCCAGCCCATCCTGGGCGGGCGCACGGGCACTCACTGTGACACATGGGTGATGGGCGCCAATAGCGTCTCCCCCTCGAGGTCCAGGTCCTCGGCGAAGCTGTTGGTTCTCATGAAGTGGGCTGTGCTCACCTCCAGCAGCATGGGGCTCTTCTTCACTGTGGGGAGAGGCGTGGGGCAGTACGTTAGGCCTCTGTGGAAGGCTTGATGGGGCAGGGGGCATGGGACCAGCCAGAGCTGGGCTCTGATACCCACCCCAACCTACCACCCCAGCTGAGGACGGACTGGCATGCCCTGAACCTTCCCACAAACTGACAAGACCTCCACACACGGAGCTGGGTGATGAGTGGGGATGGTCCGTGAAGCTTCCGCCCCAAGGATCCGTTAAAACAGCCCCCACGAGCCTGAGGTCTCAAAGGCTGAGGAGCAGCAGGTCTGTGACACCTCCGCAGGGTGAGGGTCACCCGAGCTGAGCTCAGGTGGCCGGGCCTGTCCCCAGGCTCACACCTGACATTCAGGTCAACAGTAAAACACAGCTGATCAGCCCTGGTCTGGTGAGACACTGACTCCTGCCACCATGCCATCGCTCTCAGGCTTCGGCGAAGACCCAGGGTGGTGGCACTCCTGCCCACGAGGAGCCACAAGCTCGGGAGACAGGGGCAGCCATGGAGCCCCCAGCCCCCTGCTCAGGCCACAGTGCCACACCTGCCACCCATACCCCAAGGGGTGCAGGAATTCTCTGGCCCCAGCTGCTGGTGTGGTGTCCAGCTTCCTGGGCTCACCCCCAACAACCTGGTGATGGTGCTTGGGGCTGATAAGGATATATGCCAGGCTGACCCCCCCACCCCGATTTTCAATTTGGACTAAGTTTTCTTTTCTTCATTTAAAGTTTATATTTTAAAAGAAGCAAGTACTCATTGTAAAAAGTGAAACAACTCAAAGATTCATGAAGGCCCTCCTCCTGCAAGGTCACACGTGTCAACTGCCAAATGGATTCCTGGCTCATCCCTCAGCTCATCATAACAGCTGATACCAGGTGAGACAGCTCTGTTCTTGTCATCTCATTCTTCTACAGGTACCACAGATGTGGATCTCTGTTTTGGACTATGATCTCAGGATCATAGTCTGTGGTTTACACCAATGGCTAAGGTCACTAAGCCATTCCGTGGCTGATAGATCCCGAGGCTCCATGAGCTTTAAGTCACGACTTTAAGGCAATGATGCGCCACCCATTATATGAAAACCTGACACTGGGGCCAGGCGAGAGGGTGCTCCCTAGGTAATTTTAATTGTTTTCGCAATTAGTTATAGCAATCCAGACCTCACCAGCAGCATGTGAATGTGACAGCTTCCTCATGTTCATGCCCAAACCTGCTGCTGGCACCCTTCCCAGGGCCTGCCAGGCATGGATAAAGACAAGGGGGGTGCTGTTTTTCCTTTTGTGCCGAGGGCCTTTTCTGGCTCAGGGGCTGTTTGCACTCTCTTGCAGAATTGCCTGTTCATACCTTTTGCTCTTTTTTGCTTGTCAGCTTGTAGGAACTGTTTATATACTAAAGATATTATTAGCCTTTGTCATGTAAGGCACAGATATCTTCCCCAGTAGCCTTCAGTATGGTTGTTTTTATCGTAGAAAATGTTTTATGTGTTGAAAGTGATATGCCTATCTTTTGCTTTATGAAAAAGGAAGATTTTCCCACTTCAAAGTAATACAACCATCTCTTAAATTTACTTGTGATCTAAATGTATGAATGTTGTGTGTGTAAAATTTTTATACATTTAGCATTTATGCCTAACATTATGTGCATTAATCAACGATCTGAAAATGTAGAAGTACTGTATACAATCTTCAGAAACTAACATAAAACATAAAATATAAAACTTCTTGAGGAAGATGCAGAAGAATGTCTCTGGATCTTGGATTTGGCCATGAGTTTTGAAGTACAACACTACAAGCTCGGTCAGTGAGAGGAAAAAATTAACAAATTGGACTTTATCAAAATTAAGGCACTAGCTCTGCAAAAGACACTGCTAAGGGAAGCAGAAATAAGCTACAGACTTGAAGGTGTTTCCACATCTCCTATTCGGTCGAGGACTTGTATCTAGCATATATAAAGAACTCGTACAACTTGACAGCAGGAAAGGCCACCAACCCAATTTAAGAAATGGATTACAAGCAAGTACATAGAAAGATTTTCAGTTCAATCAACATTAGTAGTTGTTAGGGAAATGCAAGGTAAATCTACAGTGAGTGACCATGAGACCTTTACTGGAATGGCTATATTTTGTGAAGAAACAAAACCTGAAGCCTGACAATACCATGCACTCACAAGGACATGGAGCAACTGAAACTCACAGGCTGCTGGCGGGGATGCACAATGATATGGCCATGTTGGAAAAAAGTTCAGCAGCTTCTTATAAATGTGCACTGGCGGTGTGACCCAGTGGTCCTCCTCCCACATATTTACCCAAATGAATAAAAAATCTATCTTCATAAAAACCTGTACATAAACATGAATAGCAACTTCATTCATGGTCGCCAAAAGCTGGAAAGAGCTAAGACATCCCTCAGTAGTAAGTGAATGGGTAAACGAACTGTGCTCTATCCATACAATGGAACACCACCCCGCAATCAAAAGAAATGAACTAATAATTCATGGAGCAACATGGGTGACTCTCAAATGCATTTTGCTAAGCAGTGAAAGAAGCCAGATGTAAAAGGCTACATATTATATGATTCCATTTATATGACATTCTGAAAAGGCAGAACTACAAGGACATAAAACAGATCAATGGCTGCTAGTGTTTATGGGAGGGGGAGTATTTGACTTCCAAAGGGTTACACGGGGGAATTTCTAGGGCTGTGGAACTTCTCTCTATGATGCTCTGGTGGTGGATACATGAATCCAGGCATTTGTCAAAACCCGCAGAACTGTATATCTCCAAGCATGAATTTTACTGGATGCAAACTTAAAAAAAAAAAAATCAACCAGCCTGTTGGAGGATCCTAGGAATGAAAGCAGACTGTGAAAAGTGAATTCTGCGCTATGAATGTATGACATAGTACCGTATAGCACGGAAAGAAGGGGAAGAAGGAGGTGGCCTACTAAGCTTTAGGAAACCATCTTTTGACTGTCATAAACACAGTGCTCTAGTTGGTAATGTTGTTTCTCGGAAGGGAACTACATGTACACATGTTAAACAAGTAAGTAAATAAATTATAGATAATGGGAGCCAGTTTTCTCACGTCAGAGAAATACAGTAGCAAACACAGTGTGTATGATGGGGGTGGGTACAAATGAACCCTGTGGCCAGAAATTTCTGTATGAACTTGTATTTAGCTTACTGCAGATGCAGCTATAAATACAGATACATGTGTGTGCTTGGGTTATGGACATTCATATACTTCCTCACTCCATCCTTTGGGAGGCCCTAGAAGCAGTGACAACCTGGGAGTAACAAGCACACGCAGTGCCAGATCCTGGTTTCTAAGAACCATTCATTTTCCAGTCAAAGGAAGCAGGGCTCTTTGGCTGAATGATGATGATTCTAGGACTCGGGCAGAGAAAATACAAGGAGCCCAAAGTACTGTTTAGTGCTCAAAAGGAAGAGAATGGTCAAAAAATAAATATACAAAATGGATGGGGGATATGTCAAGTGGACACAGGAACCTAACCCAAAGGACTCTCAATTCAGGGGCCAAAGCCAGAACAATTTGAACAACAAAATAAATAATGGTAGTATTGAATTATAGCTCAAAACCTAAGTTTTCCTGAGTCCATACTGATATAAACTAATGACTAAATAACTGGAAGAGAGGGACAGATCTTCCATGGATGAATGCTCAAATCAGCAGGTGGAACTTGAAGGAGAAACTTCAAAGCATCTCCCCTCAGGTCTCCCTTCCTCCCTGTGGTGGTTTTAACCTACGTCCACTGACTCTTTCACACCCTGTCCCGCAGAAGGCAGAACACAAGGCCCCTCCCCTTGAGGCAGACTCAGGGACAGCTTCCATGAGGTGGCTTTGGAAAGGGGAAACCAGTAACTCGATGGTGGAAGAATCTGACACAGCCTCAGCCACGCGGGTCAAGGCTAGCAGCACCAGTGACAAATCGTGTTGATGTCATGAATCCTGATGAGATAGAGGGGGCAAAGCACCTCGCTTCTGCTCCCCACAAACCCATAACCCCAGTGTTACCCTGAGATACCAGACAAACCCAACCGTGGGACACTGACACCCAACTGGTCGTCCTCACAGGTGTCAAGGTCATGGAAAGCAAAGAAGGCCCAAGGAGGAGATTTTGCAGATCAGAAAAGACGCTGAGACCCGCCAAATATAAATGTACATGCAACTGTAATTGATGGATCTTGAAACAAAGGACAGTAGTAGTTAAACTGGGGAGATCCAAATGAATGGACTAAACTGTAGCTTAATAACACTGTTGCTGCAATGTGGATTTCTTAGTTTTAGTAATTACACTGTGGTTATATACAGTGGTGACAGTAGGGGAAGCTGGTAAAAGATATACAGGATACTCTAAACTATTTTGCCCCTCCTGTACATCAAAACAAGTATTTTGAAAACAAAAGTAAAAAAACAACAACAAACAACCCTAAAAAAAAACAAACAAACCCTCTATACAATAGTACAGAAAATTCTTCAGTGTCTAATGAAGGATATACAAGAACCCTAAGGAGAAATGATAAAGCCTTGATGAGAGCCATTCAAGAAGACATAACCTAACAAAGGGGAGAAAAATACTTTTGTTGCTCTGAGTTGAAGACTGAAAGTGAAGAGTCTCCTCAAACCTGATAGAAATCCTAACGTTTGTGTGTTGGAACCTGGCACCTGATTCTAAAATTGATCCGGAAATGCAAAAAGCCAAGAATCAACAATATTCTTGAAGAACAGCAAGCTAGGAGCCTGGTTCTACCAGACACTGGCACTTCTTGCGAAGCCATGGCCCCCGAGATGGGGTGCCGCCGATACGAAGAGAGGCAGCCGGCCAGCAGGACAGGGTGGCGCCTTCGAAATAGCCCACATGCACGGGGACGCTTGCTGCGTATCCGAGGTGGCCAGTACAGGGTGGGGGAGAGTGTTCGGGGACAGCTGGCTGTCCACATGGGAAAAACGTTAGGCTGGACCCTCACGCCATGCACC